TGGTGTTGATGATGATGGTGTCCCGATGATGATGATGATGATGTTGGTGATGCGGGTGTTGTTGATGATGATGGTGCACCGATGACGATGGTGATGTTGAGGATGGTGTTGATGATCCTGATGATGTTGCTGATGATGATATGATGATATGATGATGTTGATGATGATTATGGTGTCCCGATGATGATGTTGATGATAAGATTGATGATACTGGTGATGATGACGGTGGTCATGATGATGGTGTCCCGATGATGATGATGTTGATGATGCTGACGATGATGGTGCCCCGATGATGACGATGCTGATGATGCGGATGATGAGTATGATGATGGCGTGATGACGATGGTGTTGATGATGTTGGCCCGATAATGATGCTGACATTGATGATGAAGATGGTGTCCCGATGATGGTGATGATGGTGATGCTGATGGTGACGATGATGATGGTGTCCCGATGATGATGGTGATGATGCTGATGTTGTTGATGGTGATGTTGTTGCTGATGATGATGGCGCCCCGAGGATGATGATGTTGGTGATGTTGTTCATGCTGATGATGATGACATGCTGATGGTGGTGGTGTTCCGATGATGATGATGATGGTGGTGTCCAGTGATGATGATGTTGATGACGATGATGGTGACGATGATGGCGTCCCGATGGTGATGATGGTGACGATGATGGTAATGTTGATGATGATGATGGTGATGGGGTGATGATGATGATGGTGTCCCGATGATGGTGATGATGATGCTGATGATGATGACGTTGATGACGATTATGTTGATGATGATGATGACGACGCTGATTGTGAGATCGGTTGTGATATCGATGGTGTCATCGATCGTGAGACCGAATGTGAGATCGATTGTGAAATCGATAGTGGCATCGATAGTGATATCGGTTGCGAGATCGATAGTCAGATCGATTGTGGCATCGATCGAATGAGATAGATCGAGAGATATCGATTGTAGTATCGATCGAGTGAGATCGATCGAACGAGACCGATAGTGAGATCGATCGTGAGATCGATAGTGAGACCGTTTGAGGGAGACGTTGGTTCGTCCCCCCCCGAACCTCCTTATCACCCGAAGGGTGGTCGTATAGGTATGTGTACACATGTGTCGATATGTATATGTATGTACATGTGCCCGTGTACGATCCCTCCCGTTGGGCGAGTCATTTAAGCCATATACAGATTCATATCGTTATCAGCGTCTCTTTTGTTGTTGTTGTTGTTTTTATTTATCTCTCTCTCTCTCTCTTTCTCTTTTTCGCGCTCCCCTCTATGTCTCTCTCGCTCGATCGCTTTACATTTACGTAGACACATACGAAAGTCATTCCCGTTTTCGTTGTTTTAGATGTTATCTCCCCCATCCCGTCCCCCTTTTTTTTTGTTCTCTCTCTCTCTCTCTCTTACCATCTCTCTCTCTCTCTCTTTATTTGTCTTATTCCCGGACAAAGATCTGTTCTGTTATACAACCTCACATGATATACTACAATATAATGTAAACAAATACGCCCCTCCCCCCCCGGGAGCGCCCCCCACCTCCGGAACATTTGGGGGCATCTCCCGGCACCGCGCCCCCGGGCCTCCCAGAGAGCTCCAAAAACTCCAGGCCGGCCCAAGTCGCCCCCAAGGAGCCACCAAAACGCGAAAGGACGGCCCGAGACGCTCCCAAGCAACCCAAGACAGACCTCCGACGGCTCCCCAGGCTCCCAGGAGGCCTCCAGGAGGCCCCAAGAGAGCTCCGAGAGGCGTCCTGGGAGCGCCCGAAGAGGCCAAAACCGTTGATTATCATTGTTTTTGTTTTGCGGTTTGTGGCCTTCTCGCGTTTTCGAGTTTCCAACGCTCCGAGACGGCCGAAAAGGCTCCCTAAGACCGCCCAAGGGCCCCCAACACGGCTCCAAGACGACTCCAAGACAAGCCAAGAAGACCCCAAGACGGCCCAAAGGCGCCCCGAGGCAGCCCAAGAGACCCCCAAGATGGCCCGAAAAGCGGCCCAACAGGGGGAACGCAAATCGGCTATTACAGCGTTCCGCTCCAAGAGGCCCCCAGGAGGTCCCAAGACCCAAGAGTCCCCCAAAGAGCCTGGACAGGCCCCCCAAAGCCCCGAACAGACCCCAAAGTGGCCCCAAGAGGCCCCCAAACAGCCCCCCAGCGGCTTCCGAACTGCCACCCAAGAGTCCCCTGCACGCCTCCTAAGCCCCCCCCGGTTCCTGCGCACTACATGTCAGGAGGTCCCATTTGAAAAACATAACATCCAGTGATTGTATGTTTGTTCAAGTTCATCCCGAGCCCAATAAAACTTCGGGGTCGCATTGCAAATATGTGTTGGGAATACTGTTAAACTCTCTGACGTTGTCTTGGCACTCTCTTGGGTCGTCTTCGTGTCCTCTTGGCTGCCCATGAGACCACCGTAAAAATCAAGATCCCATGGGTTCACCTGTCCAGCCTTGCTAGCACGTCAGCGCGCGCGCCAAGAAAGAGACAAACAAGAGGGGACCTCCCAGAGACTTACGAGCGCTTTGCCCCAAGGAGGCCCCAAGGTTCTCCCAGAGGTTCTCGAGGCGCCCCCCAAGTGCTTGCGGAGACTCCCGGGAGTCCCCCAGGAGGCACCAAGAGGCCCCGAAAGATTCCCAAGACGCCGCCAAAAGGCCCCCACAGTCCACGGCCTGTATCCACGCAATTTCTGACCTATGGCCCAGGCATGGCAATTTGAAAACAGGAACTCCAATAATTCCTTGGTTTTTAATGTATCTCCTGCTTACACAACCAATCATGCTTAAGGCCCCCGTCACACCGAAGAAAAATACCAGGAGGCATTCCAGGGCCCCAAATCATCGATCACCTAAAGGAAAAGTATAATTATGTGGTTTCCGCATTTCGCTTTCCGAGGTTTGCGCAGTGGACTCCAAGAAGGTCGTTAGATGCACAAGGCACTTTAAACATTGATATTTCAAGCGTTAGCCTGTCGAGCCTAGCTAGAACTTGAGCGCGCGTGAAGCGCGCGCGATGATTCTAGTAGATGTATAGATGTGTGTATATATGCATATCTATATATATATATATACAAGACTGCAGTGGCGCTTCGCGCCATGCACCTTGGTCCATGAAGTATGGTACGCAGGCGGAATAGCAGGAAGGCCAAGCCGACATTTTTGCGATAATTCCTTGTTGCCTTTTTCCAGCAATGTTGCCTTTTTCCAGCAATCGCCGCTATAATAATTTGATTCGTCATCCTTCCTCCATGCTTCTGTTTCCTCATTTTCGCCATACCCTGCGCATTCTCCCCATCCTCCTCAGCGCTTTTTGCCGAGGCTCCTCCTTGGAGAGCTTCTGGGGGCCTCACAAAAGTTGTTTCAGGCTTTCTTAAGGCCTTCTGGAGGCCTCCTGGGCGTGTTCTGGGGGCCTCTGGGGGCTTCCTCGGGCCACCCTGCATCCAACCGCGGTCTCCCTGAACGACCGGGTCACGATTTGGAATGCTTCGGAGGGTGTCTTGGGGCCACCTTGGGCCGCCATGGGGCTCTCTGAGGGCCATCTTGGACCCCTGTTGTGCCGTTTTGGGGCTCTCTTGGACTGCCTGGAAGCCCTTTCGGATGGTTGTGGGGCGATTTTGGAGCCGCCCAGGCGGCTTCGGACGCCCAGAAGACCGCCGTCTTGGAGCGTCGGGAAACCGAAAAGAGGATAGCCCCAAAATTCACCAAAAACCAGGCGAAAATCAATGATTGTTGCCTAGTGCTCTTGGAGGCCTCTTGGGACGTGTCTGGACGATCTTTGGGGGGTATGACGGCTTCTTGGGGGTCGTCGTGGAACGTATTGGGGCTCTTTGGGGTCGTTTCGGGAACGCCTGAAAATTGGCTAGGGTTGTCCTCGGACTCTCGTGATGTTCTCCCGGGTCGTCTGAAGGGTTGCCCGGAGGCCCGGGGAGGGCCAAATTCGTTGCGGGGGGGGTGCGCTGGGGGGGGCTCCCCAGCCTTATAAAGATATATAAATAGGAATATGTATATATGTACGTGTATATATACATGTATGTATCACCGTCTCTCTCTCTCTCTCTGTCCCTCTCTCTCTCGCTCTCGATATCTCTCGATATCTCTCCTTTCCTCTCTCGCTCTCTCTCTCTCTCTTTCTCTGTATCCCACTCCTTCATTACATCTCTCCCCTACCCCCTCATTAGCCCAGCCCTTCTATCACGCTCCCTCTCCCTCTCTCTCTCCGTCTCTCTCTCTCTCTCTCTCCCGCTCTCTTTCGCTCTCTCTCTCTCTCTCTGTTTCTCCCTCTTTACTCTCTGACTCTTTCTCTCTCTCTCTCACTAATTTTTCTTTACTCTCTGACTCTCTCTCTCTCTCTGTCTTTATGTGTTGTTTATCTCTCTCTCTCTCTCTTTCTCCCTCTCTCTATATGTATGTTTGTTTGATTATTGTTTTTGGTGTGTGTCTCTCTCTCTCTCTCTCCCTCTCTCTCTCTCTCTTTCTTTCTATATCTATATTTATACAAGACTGCATTGGCGCTTCGCGCCATGCAATTTGGTCGTTGAGGTTTTGCATGCAAGCAGGAAGGCAATAAGACAAGACGGAACATTTAGCGACCATTCGTTGTTGGGTTTTTCGTTATCATTCCCCCTTCCTCATTCTCGCCGTGCCCAGCGAATTCGCCCCCATTCTCAGCTCTTTTGTGGAGACTTATCCTAGGAGAGCCTTATGCCAGTCTCACGAAGGTTTTTTTTAAGGGGTCGTTGGGGCCTGCTGGAAGCCTCCTTAGTTCCTTCTGGGGGCTTCTGTGGCCTCCTCGGGCCACCCTGGTTCCAACTGCGGTCTCCCAGAACGACTGGTTCACTATCTGGAATGATTCGGAAGGCGTTTTGAGGTCATCTTGCGCCGTCGTGGGGCTCTCTTCGGGCCACCTTGGGGCCCTATTGGGCCGTCTTGGGGCTCCGCTTGGACTGCCTCGAAGCCCTCTTGGTTCAATTTGGGGCGATGTTCTAGCCTCCTGGGCGGTCTCGGACGCCGTGAAGACCCAAGAACTGAGCATTCGAAAACCCATACAAAACTGGTCCGTAGCCATTTTGGCCCAAGCAGTTTGGCTCAAGATCCTCAGCCCGTGAGCCTCGAGCCTGGAGCCGAGCCCCCCCCCCGAGCAAAGAAGCCCCCAGCGCGTCCGGCCCGCCACCCTGAGCCTTAGCCATGGCAGCGACCCGTGCCGCCGCCATGCTGCTGGTCGTCCTGGCCCCCGCCGGCCACGCCGCGCTGCTGAGCGCCGGCTCCCAGGGCGCGTGCCCATCGACCTCGATCTCGTACGCTATCAGCACCGACGCGGCGGGGACCGAGCAGTGGATGCCGCCGTGCGAAGCGACCGTGCCGGGCCAGTGCGTCCCCGCCGGGGTGGACACCAGCTCGTTCCCCGTCTCCAAGCTGAAGATCTGCGGCCCGGGCAAGTTCTCCATTTCCCGCATGAGCTGCGACCGCCACGACTACAAGGCCGAGACGTACGTGCACCCCACCGACGAGTTCACCGCGACGACTTGCAAGGTGTACGACCTCACAGGCACGAACGTTCACGGCTTCGTTGGAAGCTTCTCTTACGAGTGTGACACCACTGCTCGCTGAGGCGAGCGCTGGCCAGGGCAGCCGTGAGCGGGCGCGAGCTCCCGGGCGGCCAGTGGGAGTTGTGCACCGCGCGCTCCTCGACTGCTGGCCGTCATCAGAAAAGACCATACAAAACTGTGGGACATCAATGTTTTTGGCGTTTCGAATGTCTCCTGGGGATCTTCTTTGGGATCATCTTCGGGCATCTGGTGGGTGTGGGCCTCTGTGGGCTCTCGCGGGGCCGTCCGGCCACCCTCCTGACCGATCTGGTGCCGTTGCCCATGCCCAGCAGGGGTTTCAGGAGCCCCGGAAAGCACTGGGAAGTGTCTGCAAGGTTGTCTTGGGTGCCCCCGGGGCCAAGGATCTGAAGGTGCCCCATTTGCTTAGAGGGGGGTTGGCAGGGGCTCAGATTTAGTATAGAGAAGGGAATATCCCTCTCTCTCTCGCTCGTTCTGTCCGTCTCTTTCTCTTTTTTGTTTTTCTCTCTCTCTCTCTCTCTCTCTTTGGCTCGCTTTCTTTGTCTCTCCTGCTCTTACCCCTATATGTTTACAGCCAGCTACCTAAAACAATTATAGTGGGACGTGTACACTCGGCGAGTCCATTCTGAAAGCTTACACGTGTCAGATGTATCCGTGTGGCTCGTAGTCGGCTTACCAGGGGCTTCTCGTTATGCCATGGTTTGTATACATATATATATATATGTATATATCAAATTTTTCATGCGCACATGCATATACATGCATATATATATATATGTCTACGTCCAGATGGATTTTTGCACACGTCGGTATCTCTCTCTCTCTTTCTCTTTCAGCCTGTGCCACCTTGCCTGTGTCTCTCACTGTCGCTCTCTCTCCTCCCCTCACTTTAGTTTAGTCTCCCTCTCCCCGTTCCTTCCTCTCTCGCTCACTCTCTCTCTCTCTCTCTCTCTCTCTCTCTCTCTCTATATATATATACATATACACCTTGCTCTTACTCTCCCTTTTTGTTCGTTCTCTCTCTCTCTGTCTCTCTCTCTCTCTCTCTCGCTCTCTCTCTCTCTCTCGGTCTATCTACATATTTCTCTTCCCATATTTTTGCAAGCCAGGGGGGGGGGGGAGAACCCTCCCCCCCAAAGAAGCGGACCCCCGTGATCTGGGGCTTTGGGGCCCCCTGGACGCCTCCAGAAGAGGTCCTCCAGCCCTGCCGCGCCTCCCTGGGCGCTTTGCTGGGCCTTGCCCGGCAGAGCGATCAGAAGAGTTGTCGAAGAGGCGCAGGAGAGCCCAAGACGGCGCAAAAAGTCGTCAAGACGGCCCGAGAGGCCCCCAAGACGGCCCAAGATGCCCCCAAGATGCCTCAAGAGGTCTTCGGAGGGTCCCCAAGTGGCAAACATCGTCCCATCCCCGTGGGGAAACGTGCATTTTCAGCATATTAGTATTCTGTGTCGTAGCAGCTTTCACGACAGCCTAAGAGGCCTTCGAGATCGCCCAAAGACGGCCCAGGAGGCCCCCAAGAGGGTTTTTAGACAGCCCAAGAGGGCCGCAGGACTGCCCCAAGGCAGCCCAAGAGAACCTCACGAGGCCCCCAAAGGCTCCCAGGAGAGACCCACAAGGGGAGGTCCCCAGGAGGGGCCAAGAAGGCTTGTAGAGGGCCCAAATTCCCCAAGAACGCCCCAGCACGGCCCAAACGGGTTTCAAAAGGGCCCCCAGGACGGCCCAGAGATGCGCCCGGGAGGCTTGCAGAGGTCCCCGAAGCCCTTGAAAGGCAGTCGTGAGGTCCCCAGACGGTTCTCCCACGAGGAGCCTCCGCCCAAAGACTTACGGCAGACGGGGAATGGTTCGCAACGCCAGGCGAGGTTGAGGATGAATGCGAGGAACGATGTGGAACGGTAAGGCGTTGCGTTCCATTGCCTTGCATTGCGCGACTGGGCAACTCGGGTCACGAGGGAGCCCGTGGGGTGCACCGCGCGAAGGGCCCCGAATGTCATTCCCTTCCACGGTCGTGCGTCTTCCAGAAAGTGTCTTCCGCGAAACACATCAAACTGACCCGAATCCCGGGCCTGCAACGAAATTATCCAGACGGTCGTGGCGAATCCCAAATTTGGTGCATTTCCAAAACCGAGGGGGGCGAAAGCAAATACGGCACGGTTAAAAGGATTTGAAAGGAAACGGCCAAGTGTCAAAGGAAGGCCACCATTTGTGAAGCTTGAAGGACCACGGTGCCTGGCGCGAAACGCCAACGTAGTCTATATAACATGTATATATATATATATTCCTCTTCCTATATTTTTTAAAAGCCCGGGCGGGGGGAAAACCCATCACCCCCCCCCCCCCCAAAAAAAAAAAACGGACTCCCGGGATCTGGGGCTTTGGGACCCTCCGGACGGGCGTCGAAGCGGCCCCCTTAGCCTCGCAGGGCGTTTTGCCAAGCCTTCCCAGCAGACCTAGGGCGATCAGGGGGGTCATCGGAGACGTCTCAGAGACCCCCATGACAGCGCAAGAGCGCTCCAAGAGTGACCGACGTGACTTCAAGATGGCCCAAGAGGCCTCCAGGACGGCCCCAAAGAGGCCTCCAAGAGCACTCCCAAGAGGCAAAAATCATTGATTTTCTGTTAGTTGTTGGTGCATTTTGGGGTTCTCCTCTTTTCGGCTTCCCGACGCTCCAAGACGGCGGTCTTCTGGGCGTCCGAAGCCACCTGGGAGGCTCCAAAATCGCCCCACAACCATCCGAAAGGGCTTCCAGGCAGTCCAAGAGAGCCCCAACAGGCACAACACGGGTCCAAGATGGCCCTCAGAGAGCCCCATGGCGGCCCAAGATGGCCCCAAGACACCCTCCGAAGCATTCCAAATCGTGACCCGGTCGTTCAGGGAGACCGTGGTTGGAGGCAGGGTGGCCCGAGGAAGCCCCCAGAGGCCCCCAGAATACGCCCAGGAGGCCTCCAGAAGGCCTTAAGAAAGCCTGATACAATTTTTGTTTAGGCCCCTAGAGGCTCTCCAACGAGGAGCCTCCGCAAAAAAAGCTGAGGGGGATAGGGAGAATGCGCAGGGTATGGCGAACATGAGGAAAAAGAAGCATGGAGGAAGGATAACGAATGTCATTATCATAGCGGCGATGCCGGAAGAGACAACAAGGAGTTATCGCTAAATTGTCGGCTTGATTTTCCTGCAATTCCGCCTGCAAACCAAATTTCACGGACCAAGGTGCATGGCGCGAAGCGCCACTGCAGTCTTGTGTATATATATATATAGATATGTACACAAGATTGCATTGGCGTTTCGCGCCATGCTTCTTGTTCTGGAAGCTTCCCCGGCAAAACACCAAATCATGGCTCGCTTCAGCAGGGGGGACCTCGAGGCATGGACAGGCGACCGGCTCATTTTTCTGATATCCCTGGTGCTTGCTGACACCGCTTTCGCCCGACGCGCTTGCACGCTTTCTTGCAGGAGCGGGGAAGGAATGATGTTTTTTTCACGCGCGAAGGTCTTTTGAGGAAGGAAGTGGCGTTCCCATGACACGCCGAAGAAGTTGCAGCAGCTCCGAACAATCGATTTTCGGTCGTTTCCTGAATGCCTGGGGGGCTCCAGGCATTCAGGAAATTTGTCGATCGTCGAACTTCGAATCTAGATCCATTGCGTGTCTCTTTCGATCGAGGGGTTTAGACCTCGAGTCTCGAGTGTGGAACCAAGATCGCCGGGCGAGCTCGATGTACATCGTAGGAGAACGGCGCCTGGGCGTTTTCAGGGGTTCTTTTGGGCCGTCCCGGGGCCCTCTTGGGGCGTCCTGGGGCTTTCTTGGGCCGTCTTGAAGAACTGGGGCCCTCCAGAGGCCTTCTGAAGCCATCTAAGGCCCTCTTGTGGCCTCCAATGGCCTTCTTGGGTGTCTCCCGTGGCTTTCGTGGGTCTCGCTTGGGAGCCTTCTGGGGACATGTTGAACTTCTTGTGGGCAGTCTTGGGGCTCTCTGGGGCAGTTTGGGGGCCCTCCTGGGCCGTCTCCAAACCCTCTTGGGGCGATACCGGGGGCCCATCGGGCCGTTTTGGACGCTGCGAAGACCACGCGTATGTTGAACATATACATTTCCCACAAAGAATGACACGATGTGTGTTTCTTCGGGGCTCTCTTAACGGCCTCTTGGGGTGTTCTGGGGCCTCTTGGGCCGTCTTCAGACCATCGAGGTTCCTCTTGGAGGGCTCTTGTGCTGTCTTGGGTCTCTCTTGCGCGTCTCCGACAGCCACTCTGGTCGAGTGGGCTCGCAAGGCCTGGCAAGGCGCCCTGGGAGGCCCGGAAGGGCCAGCGGATCTTGTCCAAGGGCGTCCAGGGAGTCGCCGAGACGTCCGAAAGGGCGTCCAGAGCGTCCCGGGGGGGGTCCGGTTTAGGGGTGGGGGTGTGGGTGGGTTTTTCGTGTCATAAAAATATACGAATAGGAGTATGAGTATCCCTTTTTTTCAGACAGTGCGACGGACTTCTGTCCCTCTCTCTGCAGCTCGTAGCCTTTGCGGGGCGAATCACCCCCCCTTGCCGCTCCCACGGCGTGCCCGCCCCAAGGATCGATCCCGCCGACAAAGAGAGGGTCCCGGAGAAGTATTGGCGGGTGGAGGCCGCGCACCCTCAGCTGGGCGGAGGGAGGTGCGGTGCCCTGAGGTCTTGTCCTCGCAGTGTTTTCGCACTGGGCGTTTTCGCCTGTTTTGGGGGCCGTGGGCCCTCGCAGAGCGATCTGGCTCGGGAAGTTCCGCAGAAGTTCGGTGCCTGGGGCTCCCGGTTACAGTTTTGGGCGATGTTCAAGGTTGAGGCGAGTTGAGGAACGACGTCGCCAGACAAATAGAGCTTGGAGCCCCTTCTTTTCGTCGTCGTTCGTCGTCCGTCTCTCTGGCCATCTCGGAGCGCCCTTATTCCAGGGGCCCCGATACCAGCCCCACAGGTCCTGATTTTCCGTTCCTCTTCGTTCAAGAGCCAGGGCATGCATACCACTTGTTTGTTCCAGTGCTGGTGCGTGTGAGCGCAGTTTGCGGCCAGTGGCTCGGTTTCCTGAGCTGCGGCGGGCGACTAGGCCTCAGCGCAGTCCGCATTTGAGATTATACACCTGATTGTTCAATTCCCGCGTTGGCTGGCGTCTTCCTCGATGGGTCATGAGTCATGAGCGTTGGCAGATTCGCTT